CTTAGTTCAGAAACTTCTGCTGACTAGCTGTGTTCTCATAGGTTCATCATATATATACTGTTGAAAGAGAAGGACTTGGTGCTGTCCTTTTGCCTCAGTCTTCAGGCGGTCACCATAGATTTATTAGATAGACAGGTCAGGACACACACCACATCCTTTCCTTCCTGTTAGATGAGTTTCCTTCCTTCTGGCTTGACACCTCACTCTCACACACACTTCCTCTCTCACACACAAAGAAGGAGCACGTTTTTCTCTCCATCTTTAAACAATGGATGCAGGGGTGCTCTTCCCTGCATCCATACCCATCCTGGGTAGTTAGATTCTGTCTCTGTCTCTCATCTATAATGTCTAGAATGGAGTTCCATATAATAACTCTTATTGGTTTTGAATCTGACTACTGGCTCTGTGTAACTTTGTACGTCCGCTAGCACACTCAGTACCTAAGCTCTGCCGTGTGGAAATGCCTAGTGCACTCTGCTACATTAATAGTGATTCCTGGCTCTACTAAAACCAGAGAATCCAACATGTACTTGTTCAGGGCTTGCAAAGATGTGGTCTTGATTATAGAATTCCTTTCCCCTGGAGATTTGGCAAATGTAAATGGTTTTTGGTTTCCAGAGATAAGGAGGGATAAGACAGAGAAGGGGGATTTGTTCACTGGAATTCAATGTGTGTTTGTGTGTTATGTTTAACACAGAGCAACCTGTCTTGACCGTCAGATGAGCAATAATTAGCATTAAAAATTAATAAATTATCCTTTTTGTGCTAGTGGACTTACAATGCAAGCCAGAGAACACTTTAGGGAGCAAGCTCTACTGAATAGAACAAAGTAGGATTCTGAGTAGACCTGCTTAGGAAGGCAGTTTTCAAATGGAAAAACATTTGGGGTCTATAAGCAATTCTAAATTTTAAAAGTATAGCAATATACTAAAATATTTTGTGGCTTTAAAAGAAAATCTCTCCGATGAATGCTGCATTGCTATAGCTATGCTTGTACAAATTAATACAGCGTCTTCTTTTGCTTCTGGCATAAAGGGAGAGACTTAGTGCAAGAAAACAGCATAACTTGAGAATATAAACCTTCACCACTTGACTTCTTAAAATAAGCAACAGAATGTTATAAAGCACAAACGTCACTTACAGTTTGGAAACAATATTTATATTTAAGGTTGAAAAGCCAGGATGTAGGAAAATCTTGCTAATTTGCAAGGTGACCTTTAAGTGCACCAAAGCCAAATAATTTGTCGGTTATGACACAGGGCACATTCCTGCAAAATTTGTGTGAGTACTCCTTTAGTGACTCTTGAAAGACAAACAAAGAAACCTGAAATGAAAGCTTTATCCTCTCCAAAATAAGGTTTAATAATGGAAGGGGGGGGGTCAACATGGTCTTTCAAAGTCTCCTATTAAAATAAGGGCTCTGCCACAGTTAATGAGAGAGCTTACAGCAGAAAACAGTGGTTTTTAAGAACGTTTAGATCAAAAGTAATTTCTAATCTGTGCAATAGAGAGTTTTTTCTGTACCTTAGATTCAACAGCTAAGCTTTTAATGTCGACAGTATTTATTTCAATCACGTGTTTTTGATTTTGCTGTTTTCTGCCTGCAAATACTTAACAGGGTTAGTTGGTAGTGACCAGCAGCATGTTTTTTTTCTTAAATAAAAAAGATGGAGTTGGAATAAAGTGGGGGACATCTTGGGTTAAATTATTTTCAAGCATCTGTTCTTTAAGCTACTTTTTATGAACACTCTGTAGTAATGACTGAAGGTAAAAAAAGGAGAAAAGCATCCAATGTTAGGAAATTGCAATCCAATACCATGTAATTTAAACCTGCCGTTTCCCCTCTTGTACTAAATGACATACAGATGGATAGCTCAGGTCACTCTACCTTGATATATGTATATTTCTACCAAACTTTTTAGTTACAACTGTTTATTTCTAATCAAGGATGATTCCATCAGTATTTTTAAAACAAACAAACTTTACTTCTGAAAAATGGTAATTTTTCAGACGTGCTTAGGGCAGACAAACATGTTATAGTGATCTGCAGGCAATCCTAAACAGAGTTATATCCTTTTATTAAGCTCATTGACTTCAATGTATTTAGAGGGAGGCAGCCGTGCTTAGGAAGGTGCTGTTGGGGATCTGACTCTCCTGTCTGCATTTCGAATCCCCCCCCCCAAATTTGTAACATGTGTTTTACATAGTGCAAAATTAATAAAATTTATACATTTTTGCTTTGCTTCCTGATTCTTTATACCTGCCTATTTGTATCAGTAAGAATTTTTAAATATCTTTGTCAGTACTTGCAGTGTGACGTGTGATGAGCGTCTGAAAGAGAAAAATGTTTGAGGTAAAGTAGGACCTAGTTGGCACCAAGAGCCAGGGCATAATGGAGATGATTAGTAAATGATGTCTCAGTCGTGTTTGAGCCTGAGAACAACAGCCTGCAAACGTGGTTGTGGTGGTCCAACTTCAGGCAAGACAAGAAAAGGAAAAAGGTAGATATGTGGTCCAGTATTTGAGAAGTGGACTAGGCAGCTAAAGAACTAAATTATTTTTTTAACGGGCAAAACTTTTACCTCCATGAGCTCAAGGGTAGTTTACAATGAGCTAAGAACAGTTACTGGAAAATCTGTGCAAGCCTAAAACAACAGATCAAGAGGATTATGTTTGTGGAATGTTTGGATGCTGCCGGCCACCAGCACTTGGACGCCATCTCTTGTATTAAAGAGTATTTACAAGGGCTACCACTCTAGAATGGTGCTGTAGGGGAGCCCTCATTCTATAAAATAAATCACAGTTTAGGGGCTAAGCCTTGTTCAGTCATTATGATTTTGGCACTCCAGTCGTGGATAATAAGACATTGCATGATTCTCTCAACATAGGCAGTAAATAGAGCAATGATCATATTTTCCAGCTTCAGAATGCTCAAACATGTACCTTCAAAACTCTGGGAATCTGATTGCTCCTTAGGTGGTTGTATCACCAGAATCATAATGACTGACAGAGGCCGTGGGGAGTAGGTGGAGCCTGAGACATGCCACTGACCATGTTTCAGGGAGAGGCAATATTTTATTTATTAGCCCTTCATGGAGTATTTTTTTATTTGACTTTAATGTAACTCAAGGTGATGTACATTGGATTTGTAAGACAGTCTGCCATCCAGGTGCTGACCAGATGAAGACCTGCCTAAGCAGGTTGGGGGTGTATCATGTGCCTTCTTACCTTGGTTATCAAACTCATGCACCAGTTGCTCAGCTACAGCCCCGCTCACATGGTGAATTTGCCGTGGGAGAGCCACAAATGGTGGGCGGATTTTCCGGGTGCGATCACACTGCAACATGTGGCGGGCATAGCACACCCGTGGCCAACCCGTGGAGTGCCGATGAAAATGCGCGGTTAAAAAATACCTGACCAAAAGTACTGGCAAATGGTTTACCACGGGCTGCCGACTTACTCTGTCCGTGTGATCGCGCCGCCACGGCTTTTCCCCTCCGTCCGTCTTCGTTGAGGCACAAGCGCCGAGGGATGGAACCGTGGTTTGCCACCAACACGTCTGATCACGTTGTTGCGGGTCTAATTGCGTTGCCGCAAATAACCACGCCCCGCGCGTTTTCCAGCACGTGTGACCGGGGCCTATATTCTATATAGTAGCTGCAATAGAAATGGGTGCACTAGCTCCCACATTATGAAATTATCTTCCTGAGGGTATTAGGAAGGCCCCCACACTTCAATTGTTTTTCAAAATGTGCAAAACAGAATTGTTCAGGAGGCCATTCTTGTAGAGGAGTAGAGGTGCGAGCTGTAGTGTAATGCATCAGCTCAGGAGGTGACATCTATTGCTGGTAGACTCAAATGTTATCATGTTTTGTTATCTACTTTGTTTTATTTGCTGCCAGGTTCAACTGTTGTTATAATGCAAATATTATCCTATTTTGTAATTGGCTTATTGATTGACTGAACAGTTCTATTGTACTTGTAATCCACCCAGTAAGAAAAGTGGACTATAAATGAAAATAAACTAAAATATCTAGGATAAATTTCTTGTTCCCCAAGTACAAATTTTCAGTGCTGATAAAATGCTGATGGCCCTGATCCAGCTGTAGTTGCAGGTGAAGCTATAAATTTTAATTACTTGTGCAAGAATATTAGTGGCCACAATGAAAATTTATTGCATTATCACTCAGATGTGCCCTGAAATGTGTGTACAATTTATGCCTTGTTATATGTTGTAAATATTTTTGCATAAGAATTTTGTACACATGAAATCAAAAAAGTTGGACCAATAATAATCATTTGAAAGTATATATTTATGCTCACTTGTTATAACAGAATTCACAAGATCTGTCAAATAACATGTTTATTAGGTCTGTCATCTTAAATTACTTTGTTTCTCAGGATATTTTTGACACACTTCTAAATGTAGGAAATTCCCACTTTAAATTAATTTCTTTTCATGTAAATTCTGAGTCTCAGAACTATACTATCTGAGGAAGGACCAAGTACTAAAGGACTGTTTGGTTTTAAATGAGCAATAACCAATTTACAAAGTTTTCTGTTCAGTGTTTGTTTTTCAAAGTTTATTCTCATATTCTGGTTAAACATCATATGCCCATTACCTTATGTCTGCAATATAGATGTCTTGCTACTGTTAAATCCTAAACATATTTACAGAGAAGGTATGATCAAACATGTTTAGGATCACAACCACAGGTTATGGTGATCATGTGAATTCTGAAAACAGTTTTAATTTTTCCTGCATAGAGAAGGCTTTGGCTGTATCGCATTATCACTATGCCAGCGGAGTCACAGGCTTTGTGAAGAGCAGACTTGTTGGATCTGAAGATGCAATCAGCTGAGCCACTCTAATGCATAAGAATCGGATGTTGTCTTTGGAAAAGAGAATGCAGAAGCTGTGCTTAGGCTGCCCGCCAAAGTGATGGTTCAGATTTTGGGCTTTTTAAAAGTTCCTCCTTCCATATCCTCTCATTTTGCAGGGTCACGTAGGGATAAAAAGACCTGTAAGGTGGTCTTCTCCCAACAGGATTTGAAGAAGCGGCTGACACCCTTGCAGTACCATGTTACTCAGGAAAAAGGGACTGAAAGGTAAGGCAAGATGAGAGAAATATGGTCAGTATTCAGCAGATAAGTCTTCACAAGTGCTGTTGTTTCATCTCCTTTCCCGAAACACTTTTAAGGAGTTCTGCACTTGTTTACTAACCCACACAAATTAACACCATTGAGCAGACAGGAATTTGCTGCACGGAAGGTCATGGACTTTATAAATGAACCCTCTTCTGTTAAAACCTCTCAGTTCATGTTTAGGGTCTGTTTTCAGTTTGCCATAAAATGTGTGGAAGTAATAGCAGTCAGGAAATTCTGGGTGGGTTTTTTGTTTGCTTGTTTTGTTTTTTGGGAGACACCACAGTAATCAAGCACATAAGGGAAATAGGCTGAAATTTTAAACATCATTTTATGTATAGACATTTTGTTTGCATGAAGAAGGTGGCTTAATTTAGCTCCTCTTGATTCAGTTTCTTTTCTTTTTAAAAAGCACATGTGGAGAAAGTATAATTTGGCTCATTTGTGCCTGGTGGAATGTCAAATATTTTCAATAACTGCCCTCACGTGGCTTTAGCCCTTGGATGTGAGCTCTAAATCCTGAAGGAGGGTGCAAAGAAGACAGGACAGCTCACCAAGGCTGTTCTAGTGAATATAACTTTTCACAACTGCACCTTTGTCAAAGTCTATATGTCCTTTGGTGTTTTACTCAGGCCATGGAGGTTGGTATCAGACCTGGGCTTCCACTTCTGAACCGATAGTATTAATAACAGGACTGCCTGGTTCCCTTCCAGACTCCAAAGGGCACTTTACCACATGTGGGGCCCAAGTTAAGCAGCAACACTGTTCCTAAGACTTGCCTTTTCACTGGACTTTGTCAATGTGGATGACTTGCGCTAAGTTTATACCCTGACAAGGAACTGGTGGTGAACTGCTCCTCCCAACGCAGAAGGCCTTCCAGCCAAACAGTTGTTTAACTGTTGTGTACAAGACCAGCAAAAATGATTTAATGCACACAAACAACCATAGATTAGGTCATTTTTAAAAAATCCTGTTTATAAAAAAAAATGGACCCCATAAAAAGGGTGAAAGGATAATAAAAACAAGCTGCAGAACACACGGACTTTTTGTTGGAGTAGCACAGCTGATTTGTATTAGATATATGACCTCCTAGCCTTTAAGATTGTTAACTGAGAAAAATATTCCCTTAAAGCAATAATATTCCTCTTCAAATACAAATGCAGAGCTCACACAGCTTGAAATCAGAGGCCAGTTATTTCAATTTCAGTTGGATTCTTTCGGTATTTAAATATATTTTGGTGCCCTGTCTGAGACGAGCAAATGAATCTTGCACTTGTACTTTACCTAGGTTACATGTAAGAAATCAAGACTAACAAATAGGATCTGAAAAAGTAAAGTCAGAAAGATGTTTAGGGTACGAATGCATTCTAAAGCAAAGCCTTAACAGCAACTGCTAATTGAAGGGTTGAACTGAGGAACAAAATCTATTGGGTCTATAAGAGTTTATATTTTGACACTTTGTATTCTCCCAGTAGTTTCTTGTCTTATGTTCAAAATGTTTATGTGGATTGTTTGGATTTCAATATGAATGTTTTGGTTTTATTTTATAAAGAACAACGATGCCTAAATTATGAGATGTAGAAAAATGCTGACCCCTAGTCAAGGCAATTTAGTGTTAGCAGAATCATGACTCAGTAGTGCTCACGGCTTTATTATTTCCCCCCAGTGCCTTTGAGGGAGAATACACATATCACAAAGCTCATGGAGTATACAAATGTGTGGTTTGCGGAACTCCTTTGTTCAAGTGAGTAGATCAAATATACTGCAAAATAATTGTTTCTCTTCTTGGTTTTTGAGCATTGCTTATGGGCTAGACAGGCATATGAAGATTAAAGAAGCTTAAAAAAATTATTCATATCTGTAAACAAAAATACAGTTCAGTAAAAACAAATAGAATACCATAAACAGAGAGTTTAACTAGCAAACAACTACGTTACAAGAGGTAAGTTTAGGACTCCTTACTGAGTCTTTTCCATCTAGGCATTCATGTCACAGAGACAAGGGGGAAGTGCTCTCACCCACTATCTTTTTTAACCCTCCAGAAGGGACAAAAATACCAAATTTACTGGTGATGTCTAATTTGGCTCTTCGTCAGGAAGAGATACCTTGGAGGTTACATTAATTCTGAAATCTCGTTACACACATACATATTCTGAGACCTTTTCAAATTAAGTCATTCCTCCAGGGCTACTGCACAGAGACTATAGTTGGGGGTTCTGTTTTGTTTGGCTTTCTTCATCATTTGTTCTTCCTTCTTTCTGTGTATTCCACTATCTCTGCTGAGATGTACACACAAAGCTGTCTTATATCACATCAGTCCATTACTCTGCCTGGCTCTGAACTATCTACTAGTGGCAGGGGCTGTCCAGGCTACTAGGCAGAGAAAGGTCTTCCCCTGCACATACTACCAGAGATCATTTAACTAGACGTGTTAAGTACTGAACTGGGTGCATACGAAGTATACTTACTCATACTGAGGGCCTAATATTTTCCAGTTGGAACCCCAGGTCAGGTCAACAGATGTAGTCTAGTTCCAAGGTTCCCAGGTGCATGGGGTGCATGATTTAGATTGGGACCACTGCACTCAGAGAGAGAGAGGGCTTTAAGTCTCCCTCCTGCACCATTTTCCTGACTTGAAATAGCTGCAGGGACCTGCTACTCATCTTGCTCAGGAAACGTATACTGTTGGGCCAAATAGTGGCTGCCTAGGGCTATTTCTGGTCAGGAAAAATGAATTGGGGGAGTTAAACCCCCTCTCCCTGTGTGCTCGAGCTCTGATTTGAATTGGACCCTCACATGTCTGGGAAATGCAGAACATACCCAAGGAAAACATACCCTGTAGTTAGATCCTGACTCAGAGCCATTGTTCTCTCTCTCTCTTCCTTCTTCAGCCATCAACCAATAGCTTCAGATTCTTTGCTTCCTGCATGTCCGGCTGAACTCCCATTTACAGTCCTTTAGGATGAGAAATGGCTAAGAGGACTGACAGTTAATTGAAAAGTTTTGTTTGTGCTGATGTGTCTGTTTTAAAAACTCAAATACTAGCCACGTAAATTCAGATCATGCCTGTAGCATGGGGTGGAAGAAGCTTAATTCTTCCATTCTTACTTGCTTCCATCAGTTAAATAACAGCCTGGGGGAAGGAGGAATTTGTATGCTGAAATTATGCAGAGTGGGAATAGTTAAACCACCTTCCCCCCTAAACTGCAGACATGGGTCAAACTGGGGCCCTACATAGCTGCTTGTTTACGTAAAAAAATGCTCTGAAGATCCACCAGTGGATCTTTCTTTTTAGGCCCCCAGATATTTGGAATACATGTGGTCTTCCATCATGAAGATCAGTACTGCATGTTCTTCTGTGGATATGGCATTTAAGGTGTTTACTGGAATTGTAGACATTTAACACCTGTCTTAAACGGAATTTCACACCTTGTAAACAGGAGCTCATATAGCAGTTGGTGAAATAGCATCTCTCTAAATTTCAAGAGCATTCTCCTTTGCTTCAAATGCTGTGCAGCTATAGCTACAGCTTGTGTCCCTAAATATACTTTTGTCAATATTGAGTGAGTGGTAATGCATTTATTAATTTAAACTCTAGACTGGATCCTGTCCATCTGTTCTGCTAATGCTGGTGCTTTCCTCTGGTGCAAGGCACTCCCCCTTGTGAAAGAAGCTCTTCTGCTAACCTTACACTAGAGAACCAGGCCAAGTGTGAGCAGAATGGATCTGTGACTGGATCTTTGACTTAAGGTGTGTATTATTCTTCCAGCATTGTTGAGGCAGGAGAGGTTTTTGATGGCTCTTTGTGAGTGTCCAAGGATACAGAACTAGAAGATATAAATTAAAGAGTAAGGCAGAATTACTGCAGAGATAATTTTATCATATAAAAGAGTACCACATGTATGTTCAATGTTGTTAAACTTAGATGAATTTGTTAACTGATTAGTGAAAAAGTAGGGAAATGATATGGAACAGAACCACAGCTAAATGGGACTGGATTTGGGAAAATGTCTGGTCAAGATTGATACTGAGGGACCTGAAGGAAAGTTTTATACAAATATAGTCCTGGTGATACTTCACACCTTACTGTTTATCAATGATTTATTCCAATTTATCCAGTATATGTTGAATCAGGTAACAAATCTCCTTCACATCTTTTGGAGCTGTCTACTGATTAGGAAATTTTGGTCTGTGATTATTGAGGAGATTCATAATATGACAGGATATTTATTATCATTCAATCCTAAAGAAATACTAATACGTTACGTGAAATGGATAGCCACAGTTATGTTTGGAAATTATTATTTTTTTATATACAACAGTGAAACTTTGCATAGTGACAAGACAGAAAAAACAAAATCCACCAAAAATGAAAGTAAGGTATCTGAGATTATGGCAATTCTGTTAATGATAAAATCAATGTGTTATGAGAGGTCTAATGGCTCAATTTTCACTGATAGATTTGTAGAAGAATGGTCTATGTTTATTATGTATTGGAATGACAAAGTCCAGGTTGTACTTTTGTGTATTTGGGTCAAATATAATGGACTGAGAGTATGGTATGGGTATGTGGAATAGAATGGCCGGCTGTTCTGTGAAATGTACTAATCATAAATCATTAGACAGAAGTATTGGTATTTTCTTTTTGATAGGACTAAGTGTGTATGTATGCTATTGTTTTTTGTAAGTAGATTTGTATGAAAATTAAATTTAAATAATTTAAAAAGAGTTTTACCTTGTCCTCCTGCTGTCCCTCCATTTGGCATTTCTGTAGCGGGAATCGCAAGGAGGTAGCTAGCTCCCTTACAAAGGGATCCAGGCAAGCAGTTTCTTCATTCCCCCCAAAGGGAACTCATGCTTCCTTCAGATGGCTTGGAGGAGGCTCTGTAGAGACTTCAGTTTGTCTTTCCAGAAACTTTTCCGGTGTAACCCCACTGATGGATTCATAAAGCTGCTTTGCTCTTCAGTATCTCTTGTGAAAGGGGCCATATTGCTTTCTCTGCTTTACATGACCTACAATGCATTGCCCCAGCTTATTTTACACATCCCATTCTCATATGTTTAACTCTATTACCTAGTATCACTAGGATTTACAACATTTATATGCCACGTTCCTTGGCTGACTTCTGATTGATTTTTTTAAACTTTAAATCTAAGGACATTTAACTCTGTCCAGTGGGAATTGATTTTTTTTTCTCCTCTGAACAACAGATTGTCATGCTATATCACAAATAGTGGTGTGAATTTGGATATATCTGAGCCAAACGTAAATTTCAAATTAGCTGGTTTGGGTCAACTTGGGGATATCCACAATAATCTAAAACACTCCTGAACACTCTTTACTATGGACCATTCTTTACTATGGGCTTGAGAGAGGCCAGATCTACACATAGGAAATAATAGCTCCATTATGTCTAACAGCAGGTAGAACTAGACTCTCTAGTGCCCATAGGAAATTATGGCCCTATTAGTTCCAATGGCAGTAGACTTGGCCTCTGGTTTACCCAACTATCAGCTGGTACTTTTAAAATGTAAAGGGATGGGAAACACCAACAGCTCTTGGATGGGACCAGCTTCCTCTGCCCTCCCTCCCTGTTCCTGCTGCCTTGGTGGGATATTGGGGAAATGGTCCTCAGTTTTTGGGACCCAAATAAAGTAACTGGAAAAAAATCCCAGAACAGTTAACAAGACTCCAGAAACTCAGAGAAAATGAAGAGCATGCCCTTCCTGAAATTTGGATCTGCAATTAATATGAACATTTTTTAAGTGTGAAATTTTTGGAATGAGAATTTTTGAAGCATTTTTAATCCATTCGTCACCTTGGTGGCCTTGATGAGGGCAGAAAGGGAGGATATACATTTTGTAATCAAATCAATTGCTTTAAATGGAAACACTATATTAAACGTGTTGTTGACATGGATTTTAAGAAGGATAATTCAAGCTACGTCGAAGTCCAAACGTAATTTGCATAAGTAAGATGTGTAATATACATTCAGTCAAGCTGGTATTCATGGAAAGCAGCAGATCAGCCATGCTCTTAGAAGACACGGTATTTCTAGAGCACTGTTTCACAAATAGAAATGTTCAGCATTTTAGATCTAAAGAACAAAATGAACAATATCAGTGCACTATAAACAGTAAAACAGAAAACAGACATTCAAGTCAACATTTGGCAGGTTTTCCCAACTCCAAGTTAGCATCATCAATACAACCTCTGAAATATTAACTGCAACATCATAAGTTGAAACAGTTAACAGAGTTTGGGGCTTCCTCACTTCCCCCACCTGTGAAGCCCATATGGTTCTATTAGTTCCTGCTGGGTGTCAGATGGGCATCCATTGATTTTTTTCTCTCTGCATCACTGCTATGTGTAAATATATAATCGTGACCTGTGAACTAGTTAGTTTTGCCAGGAAGAGGAGAATGGAACTTCAGCACTAAGATTAACAGACTTCAACTTTTAATAGGTCTGATTTATGCTGTTTCATTACCATGTGACATGTAAGGTCAAGGAACACATGAATTTTGTTCTGCTGATGAAAGACCAGAGGTATTTGAGGTACATAGTTAAGATAGAACTCCATCTTTATCAGCAAGACAGTTAAAAAAATCATTGAAACCAAACATTGCTCTTCTTCTTTTAACCTTCTCAGAGCAGTCATTTACAAAGCTACCATAGACTTAATAGAATAACACACCCCACCTCCCACTTTTTATGGTGGAATGTGGCACAATCTTTAAAATGTTGCTAGTTGAACCCAATATAACACTGGAAATCTTGCTAAGAAAAGTTCCTCACATGTGGCAGCCTAAAGAAAGATGAGGTCATCCCTTTTATTCTTGTAGGTGGCTACTGCTTACTGTAAGTGTTATGAATCTCACTCTTAAAATCCTTGATGTTTATTTCCTACCCATCAGGTTTGCAGAAAAATCTAAAACAAAACAGAAAAGCCAAGAGGGACATAAAAGTTAAATAAAAAAGATCTCACAACGTAAACTCATGAGATCTCAGCCACCATTATGGTCAAGGTGCTTTTCTATGGACATGGTGTGTTTGAGTGGCTATACAGCTTCAGGCGGGCTCAGGGCAGCTTACAAAGAGCAACAAGTGCCCACACATAAAAACAGTAAAACCAGTAATTATCAACACAAATAAGGTGCTCAGTAAGAAACAAGATGGTCACCAAATAAAATTTCAAGATAGTATCTGTCTTTCATAAAGGTGGTGTTGTCCTGTAGTTGATGTACAACCAGTTGGTATACGGCGCCACGCAGTATCCTGGCAGATCTTCCAGGGACCATCCCCCCTGCCCCATCGTTACTCACGCTGTTTGTGGTGGTGGCAGCGGTGACAGCGGCGGCCCCTACGTAAAAGCCTGGCAGAAGAGCTCCATCTTACAGGCCCTGCAGAACTGCAGAAGGTCCCGCAGGGCCCTGATCTCCTCTGGGAGTTTGTTTCACCAGGTAGGAGCCGCCACTGAAAAGGATCTGGCCCTGGTCGTGGCAAGCCGGGCCTCCCTGGGGCTTGGAATCACCAGGTGATGTTGCGTCCCAGACCGAAGTGCTCATGGGGGTATGTGTGGGGAAAGGTGGTCCCTCAGGTAGGTTGGACCCTGACCATATAGGGCTTTAAAGGTAAGAACCAGCACTTTGAAACGGATCCGGGATGCTGTTGGCAGCTAGTGCAGCGCTTTCAACCCAGGCTAGAAGTGTTCCCACTTGGGGAGACCCATCAACAGCCTGGCCGAAGCATTCTGCACTAACTGCAGCTTCCGGATCTGCGACAAAGACAGCCCCATGTAGAGAGCGTTACAGTAGTCTAACCTCGAGGTGACCGTCAGGTGGATCACTGTAGCCAGGTCATCACAGTCAAGGAAGGAAACCAACTGCCGAACCAGCCTAAGGTGGTAAAATGCCGATCTGGCAGTGGCTGCCACCTGGGCCTCCATAGTTAAGGAGGG